AAGAAATTTAACTCATGCATTTATGCATTTAATGTCCCACAAATTATGAAATTTAAAAAACTTCAAATAATATTTTTAAAATATAATAAATACTTAAAAATCAATAATAGAGTAATGTTGTTCTTTACAAAATTATAGCAAAAAAATAATGTACCCACTTTTAAAAAATAACTAATGATATATTTTAAAACATAAAATAAATGCATATAATTAGCATGGTTATATTTAGCAAAATTAAAAATGGGTACAAATAAATTAGAAAATATGGGTACAAATACAAATAAAATTTTAAAAAATATGGGCACAAAAAGGAATTAATGTATTGGTACAAATTAAAACTAAAAAGAAAATTGGTACAAATTAAAATGGGTACAAAATAAAAATGAAAATATATGATAAAAAATTTAGCCATAAATATAAATATACCATACGAAACATTTCTAACAATAAATGAACATATTTAGAAATAAAAAATATTTTATTATTGAAATAATTAATGACGTTTATTAAAACCTAAGGAACTTCATCAAAAATTGAAAAAGAATAAGGTTTTAATTAATGAAGTAGCAAAAAAAGGGATGATAACCTAATTTCTCTTAATAGAACCCTCTTTGTCAACCAAAAAAGAGCGAAAAGATAATTTAGTTTTCTATCACAACAAAAAAGTTAAGGGCAGTAATGTATTTTCACAAAACAAAATTTTGCTGTTTTTTGTTTAAGCCTCACCTATAAATGATTTTAACATCACTAATTTAAAAAAAAAAATTAATTTTAAAATAAACCTATCTCCTTCTCTCCCAACTCTCACGTTCTCTCTCACTCTCTTCTTCTCTTCTTCAATTTTAAAAATAAAAATAAAGAATTTCACACACACTTTGTGTGTGGGCATATCTTTGTATATAAAGCCAGCAAACCCAATTTGAGGTCACAACTTCACCAAAAATGTTTGGACAAAAATGCCCCTAAAAACAACAAAATTTAAAAGTAGTCCAAAATAGTGCATGGGTAATTTGGTAATTTTGTCATAAAAATTTAATATAAATATAAGTGGGAAGAGAGAAAAGAATAAAAAAAATGAAATGATGAGTAAAAGTTGTTGGTTCCCACGTGAAGGGAAAAGAAAAATATAATAAAAAATAAGGAAAATCATGAAGGTTATGTTCAAAACATTTTAAGAGGCGCGTAGCGCGCCGTGATTTAAAAAATAGTCTTTTGCACGCAGATGTTTATTAAATATTATTTTCTCTATTTTTAAACACTAAAGAGGCACGTAGTGCCAATTATAAAAAAAGCATTTCACACGCGCATAATAATATGATTCAATTAGTTGTCAAATGAATTTTTTTAACAAACGATATTATCTACACTAAGGGGAAGGGGGTGGGCTTAGCCTCACAACGGGCTAGTAATAATGTAATTCAATTAGTTGTTTATTAAATATTATTTTCTCTAATCTTAATGTAAATTCAATAGAATGTAGATGGAAATTGAAAGACCACTTTTATTATGTTGATTCAGCTGGTTTAATTGGTTTATGAAGGGTTTCTTCTAGCACGGTCTATGACACACCCTGATCCGGAATGTCCACTTGGACACCCGAATCGCGATGTGTTGGCCGACACCTAGAAGGTGATGAAGCTGTAAAGTGTAGTGATGTGAAAAATGTGAATAAATTAAAACCTAAAAGTGACTAATTTAAAGTGTGCATGTGAGCAGGATTGAACCTATATCACACAAGTGATGTCAGATCATAGATAAATTGCAGTAAAAGAAGAGTAATGACATTTATACCAAAAGGAGAAGTCTCCTACGTACAACTTTTGCCAACAATCCTCGTCGTTACAAAATCTCTGCCACTAAAATCCTGGAGGTTCAAAAAATAAGAGTGAGTGGGTCCGAAAAATAAGGGTGAGTGGGGCAAGAATAGAAAGAGAATTGAGGAATTTCAAGGATGTTGATTTCCTTCGACTGTGCCTTTATTTATAAAAAATCATGAGGAGAGAGAAACTTACTCCCCAAGTAATACAAATTATAATAAGAAATGATAACTATCATAAGGACTATATGCCGACACACAAAGTGTGTGAGATTTTTTTTTATTTTTAAAATTGAAGGATAGAGGAAGAGAGAGAGAACATGGGAGTGGGGAGAAAGAAGTTTAATATTTAATTTTTTTTTTTAATTAGAGATGTTTAAATTACATGTAGGCGAATTTGAACCACATTATTGCTAGCCTATTGTGAGACTTAGCTCACTCCTCCATCCCTTTAGGATGTATAATATTGTTTGTGCAAAAAAAAGTAAACGAAGATTCAGTCAAACCGTGTTGAAATTTTTAGGCAAAACAACCACTATGTCGGTAGTTACTTGATCACTTTTTTACTATATTTTTAATAATTAAATATTAACTCAGATTTTTATTTTTATTTTTATAAAACTAATACTAATATCTAAAAATAATAAATTAAAAAGGCTAATTAGAACATGTGTGTATGTGTACTAAGACCAACTCCAACAATGACTTATAACCTAAAATTCCCCCTTCCCCCACTCCCCCCCCCCGGCCCCCAAACCGACTCCACCCTATGTGCTAAACAAAACCTAAAACTCAAAAGAAGGCCAAATACCAGCCCGTTTTAGGCTAGAAGTCATTATGGGCCCTACCTGTTGTGAGTGAAACACGGGCTGTGAAGCCCAGACGCTTGAGCCAGTCGCCCAACGTGCAGCAACACATCAGCCTAATTCCCACGGGGACCTAACCCAAGTGGGCGTGTCCCCTGCTGTCAGATGGCGTCAGTAGCCTAACGGCTACTTTTTTCGATCGAACGACCATATTTAAATGGGCCGTTGGTCAATCCAACGGTCCAGGTTCAATTTTTTTTTTTTTTAGTTTTATATTTATATATTTATTCAATCCAACGGCTTAGATTGAATATAATCAAATCTAACGGTCCAAATTTAAATCCAATGGCTAAAATATTTTTAAAAAATTATTTAACTTGAAATTCAACCAAAAACTCTATAAATACCTATGTATTTGTTCAAACATCCACACAAAACTCACTTTCCTCATACAATTCTTCCAATTTTTCTTTCTACCATTTCTTCTCATTTCCAAATTTTCAAGATGGCAAAAGAGCATGTTAGAGGTCGTACTTAGACCTTTGACGAAGATATTGCTTTATGTTTGGCATGAATTTCTGTTAGCGAAGATGGTGTCGTCGGCACAATCAAAATAGAAAGGTTTTGTGGGGTAAAATCGTTGATAAGTTCCATGAAAACTCCAACGCCGGTCGAAGGGAAGTTGGTGGTGTTTATGATCGGTAGAAGATTATCAACAAACCATGCACTTTATGGAAGGGAAGCTGGGAGAGAGTCATGGCTGACATGCCTAGTGGAAGGGGCGCCTCAGAAATTGTGAGTTTCTTTATTGATATTTTAGTTGTCATGTACATAATAGTATTTTGCAACTAAATGTTTTTATGTATTTGTTGCATAGGGTGACAAAGCAATGACAATTTAAAAGACAAGAACTACACCAAAAAATCAAGCTTTTAAGTTACATCATGCTTGGAACATCCTCAAGGATTGTCCGAGGTGGGGAACCGATGCGAATCAACAATGTGGAAGATTATTTCATAATGCAGCCCCACCCCCAAATGATGTCAATGAAGGTGTGAATTTTGCTGACAATGAAGGTGTCGACCAAATGAGCCCAACTTCTTCTTTTCCAAGGCCCCCGAGTAAAGATAAGCAAAAAGAAGCAAGGAGAAAAGGGAAGTCCCAAGATCCGATACGTGCACAATTTGCTAGCGAAATGGCAAGAATGAACGAAAACCAATGCCGTCAGCAAGAAGAATCGGCCCAAACAAAATAGTGAAATGGTAATTTAAATGTTTACTATTCTTGTAATGCCCTCACTTTAATAAAGAAGAACAATGAACAACTACCCAAACAAAATAGGAAAATGGTAATTTAAATGTTTAAATGAATCTTCAAACCCACGTTGTAGGTGGTTAATTATTCTTCTTTTGTTTTTGATTTTTTTTTTAAATATGTAGTTAGATCTAAAACAGAAAATTTTAAATTAAAAAAAAAATCAATTGCCACATCCGTACCTATGTATCAGAAGGCTAGTTTTTATTAAATTCTCATCCACCCCTATTAATAAACATAAATAATAAAAAAAACTAATTAGTAGGGGCACTAGTTTTTCCTTCTTTACAGGGCAATATGTTAAGGACATTTTTATCCTTCTCAAATAATATTAATAGGGGCTGACAAATTGTCCGCCTCTCATCAAGGACAATGTTTAGGTACTCACTGGGGAGTACCCAATTTATTGACTTCGTGGTGTGGCCTAATGAGAATAGCCCACTTCTCTTATTTAAAACTCCCCCCCCCCAAACATTTGTTATCTCGTTTACCAGAAAAAAAAAAAAAAAGAAAAGAAAAAGAAAAAGAAAAAGAAAACCATTTGTTAAAACTCCCCCCCAAACAAGGGTTTCTGGTTCAGTATAATCATTATTGGGAATTATGTATCCCTTTATTTGCTAAAACTTCTTTTCATTCGGGCTTTACTGGTGCTGGTTGTACTCGCAGTTTCTCTCTTTAATAATTTTTTCTTCAATAGAAAAAAAAAGAGTTGGATGATGAATGTAACTAATTAAAATGTGAGAATGTGATGGTGCAATATCAAAGGAAATAGTTTCAACATAATCAAAGATGATATGGGAGACGGAGATGTGAGACTCATTCGTTGGATGGACGTGTCTAGTTGCCAAAGGCTATGCGAAAATTTGGCTGTCGCCGTCTCCATGATATGAATCTTATAGGCGGGGAAGTGCTATCAAGTGTTCTACTTCCAGGCAGCGAAGTTCCAAATTGGTTCAGTTGCCGTAAGGACGTATAAATACATAGACTGCCACCAATGAAGTACGTATAAATGACCATGGTGATTGTTCGTTCAGATCAAACGAGACAGATCGATGCAGCTCATGTGTGGCTAAAATATATGCCATTACCGGCTCACATAAAATCGAAGGTGGATGAGGGGGGTGATCAATCAAAGCCGTACCAGAAACAAGAAAAACATGGAAATCTATTCATTAATACAAACTCTTAAAGTTCTTCCCGTTTCTAGACCAGCCTAGAGGCATCAATCCTTCTTAGACCTTTTCTAACCAAGCTTCAAAGCTCCATCTATTCTCGCCTTAAATTCTTTGCGAACCTCATCTGGTATCCCTCCATTGCAGAGAGCACTGGAACGTATCATCAAAGTTATGCAATCAGGTGAGATTCCATGGCATACCATTTTGTCAAACAACCTTGTTGCTTCTCTCCATTGTCTCGTACGGCACAATCCATTAATTAAAGAGTTGTAAATTACAACATCAGGCTTTTCCCCTCTTCGGATCATTTCTTCCACAAGATTCAGTGCCTCTGCTGTCTTCCCTTCCTTGCATAAAGCATCGAGAACAGCACCGTATGTAACAATATTAGGCAAGACTCCATGATCAATCATGGTTTTAAATAACATCACAGCTTCCTCCCAGTTACCCGACTTGCATGAAGCAGAGATCAAGGAAGTAAAAGTGACAACGTCAGGCTTTATACGTTTCTTAGTCATTGTTCCAAACAGAGCAAGTGCTTCTTGAATTCTTTCATCATTGCACAGCGCGTTGATTAGAATATTATACGTGCATACATTAGGAGAAATTCCACTGTTAAGCATGCAAATCAAGAAGCTCTTGGCTTTTTCCAACCTCCCGGATTGGCACAACGCATAAATTAAAGTGTTGTTGGTGACAACATCTGGCCCGACTCCATGATCTTCCATTCCTTCAAAAAGAGCGAGCACTTCTTCCCAGCGACTCATGTTGCATAACCCATGAATCAAAGAGTTATAACTGATAATATCCGGTACAACACTTTTGCTGATCATATCTCGAAATAGGGTCAAGGCATCATCCATTCGGCTTTCTTTACACAATCCATCGATGATTGGATTGTAGCAATCTTGAATTGGCTTAAACCTTCCATCTTCCCACATCTTCTTAAGAATCTCGACTGCCTTAGAAATTTTCCCAACTTTGCATAATCCATTGATCATGATAGCATAAGTGATTGCATTGCATGTGTATCCCTTCTCTTCTATTAACTTGAACAGCTCCATTGCCTCGGCCCAGGAACTGTACTTGCAAAGCCCGTGAAGTAAAGTATTTATACAACGAGCATTGGGTTCAAGACCGTATTTAAGGGTAATTGCCAAAACAGGGAAACCCAAATCCACCCGGTTCAGACGGCACAAGCAATTCATAAAAATAGTCATTGTACTGACATCAGGTCGGAAATGAGCGCAACCCATCAACTGTTTACACATAGAAACCACAGCAGAATATTGCTTCATCTTGGAGATTGCCCCCAACAAACAATTGAAAGTCCAAATAGAGGGCAAGGGTTTGGTTTGAATCATGGAATTAAAGTAACCCAAAGCTTCATCTTTCCTAATTTTTCCAGATTTGCATCGAGTCTGAATCATACTCTCCGACACCAAATGGGTTTGTTTAATTGTATGCGTACAAGTCGGATTAGCATTAACAGCGTCGGAATGAAATCTTCTACTTGGATTCCGCAGAATGGTAAAAATGAAAGAAGGAAGATTACCTCGAGATGGAGGTCTTGTGGTTATCCTCTTCATCTTCATCTTTAGCTTCAGTTGGCTACACAAATTCAGCAAACCTCGCTTCTTTAAACTAGTGAAGAAGAGTAAAATTAAGGAAGAGAATTTTTATTTGTTTTCACCCAAGTATATTATAGTATTTGGTGTACCTGTAAAGGTCACACACTTTGTGTGTTGAGAAATATATTTTTTATTTTATTTTAAATATGAAACTGTTATTAGCATTTTAAAAGTTTCAATCTATACTCTGTATATATATTTTTTTAATTATAAAAAGTTTGGAATGCACAATGAGATTTTTGGAGTGTAGGAGTTATTTGTTTTTACATCCCAAAAAAATAGGAAAGAGAAAATGAGTTGGGTGGGTTAGCCACCGAAAAGGTTTGAAGCTATGCCGTAATGTAAGAACTCAACAATTTCCCACAACTGTGGCAAATGGCCACTTGCAGTTGGGAGGGTATTGATAAGGTGACATAGCTCATAGCTGTGAGGTTTAAAAAAAAAAAAACAGTAAAAACTTGTTTGTACAAAATTACTTTAATGCCCACATTGTTTTATTTTCTAATATCTTCTTTCAGTTTTGTTTTAAAGGGTATAGTAGTAATTTTATTAGTTTTTGGTCGACAAACAGTGTTTTATTAAAATGTAGTTTAGACTATGACATTGGATCCAAACAACATTTAAATTTTATCGTGATAATTAAATAGGCAAATGAATTCAGATTAAATTGAATTGTGCAAGGATGATTTATGAATCGAGACTTACAAAATAGACAATTCAGATCATTGAATTCAATGTAGAGGTGGGTAACACAACTAATTAACAATTTTTTTTTATTTTTAAATGGGGTCCCTTCCTTAAAAAGCATGTATAAAGTATATCTAAGAGCATATTTAAATGAGATGTCGAAAAGTCCACATAATCAATAACGGTTAAAAAAGACAGCACTATGGTTTCCAACCGAAATGTCAATTCCTATGTGGTATGACATGAAATGGCAACAGAAGGAGTTGCTGTCAAATTTGGTAGCAGTTTCAAATCTATTTTTAGTGGATAATAAATGCTTTTTATAATTTTTGTTATTATCTTTTGTTTTAAGAATACTAATTACAAGCAAGTGGCCTTCTAACACAGTGATGAAGATGAGTGTTGCCTTTCCATCACGGTGTGGGTTCGAATCTCGTCAATTCTCTAATCTAACATCTAATCTAACAAATCTATCGTTTGATAAAACAAATACTAATTACACTTATGAAAAGTAGGGGTGGGCACTTGAAACTGAAAACTGAAACCAAAACACAAACCAAATCGAACCGCACCGAACGGTTTGGTTTCGGTTCCGGCCCTCCGAAACCGAAATCACATAACTTTATTAAATGTTAAATTCTAATTGGTTATTTCATTGAGTCCATACATTTAGTATGACTCAACCGCATCATAACATGGCTACATAATCTTTTTCTTTTCTTTCTTCTAGTTGTAGTCAGTACTCTTTCTTTCTTTTACTCATTTGCTACTCAACTTCATTCTTCATTTAACTCTCTGTCTCTCTCTCGGTCTCCACTCAGTTAGATATTTCAAACAAACAATACTTGCTGCTTTAGATATTATTCATTCACATGCACCGAATGGTAGTCAGTCATTCAAAACACGAAAATCCATTAGCACACTCGAAAACAAACCCTATGTAGGTAATATTCACATGCACCGAATGCAGATCCACCTCTTGTACCACTTTGTTGATGTTAATTGCTGTTAATTGTTGTGCTTGCTATTATTCTTAATTCACAACCACAACAAGCTTCAAGCCAATCAAAAGATTCTAGTTGAATCAGTGTAATAATGTATGTTGTATGCAGGCATGCCTGATTATAATTGAAGTCATCCTTGATTGAATTTTAATATTGTATGCATGCTTGAACAATGCAGTAACTTGCGGTTTTAATAGTGTATGCATGATTGAATTTTAATATTGTATAGTTTTTTCAAACAATGAAACCAAACCAAAACCATTTAAAACCAAACCGAACCGAACCAAAATGTTTGGTTTCATTTCGGTTTTAGCCTCAAAACTGCACCGAACCAAAACCGCACCAAACCGAACTGCGCCCACCCCTAATGAAAAGTAAATAATGCAATTAATAATTTTTTTTTGTCATACAATTAATAATTGTTTAAATTTGACATATCAATCGATGAGTCACCTAGGCTTGAATTTTAAATTTTAAATTTTTGTTCAAAATTTGGCATCTTATTTAGGGATGGTCTAAATTACATATTAATAGAACGGGTCTTTTTGGTTGCGGTCCCTAGTCAGTCTAATTGTTAGACTAAAACCTTGTTTGTTTAAATATTTTGATTGAGGTCCTTAACATCGTTTAAGAGATTTAACTCATGCATTTATGCATTTAATGTCCCACAAATTATGAAATTTAAACAAATTCAAATAATATTTTTAAAATATAATAAATACTTAAAAATCAATAATAGAGTAATGTTGTTCTTTACAAAATTATAGCAAAAAAATAATGTACCCACTTTTAAAAAATAACTAATGATATATTTTAAAACATAAAATAAATGCATATAATTAGCATGGGTATATTTAGCAAAATTAAAAATGGGTACAAATAAATTAGGAAATATGGGTACAAATACAAATAAAAAATTTTAAAATATGGGCACAAAAAGGAATTAATATATTGGTACAAATTAAAACTAAAAAGAAAATTGGTACAAATTAAAAAAGAGTTGCAAATTAAAAATGGGTACAAAATAAAAATGAAAATATATGATAAAAAATTTAGCCATAAATATAAATATACCATATGAAACATTTCTAACAATAAATGAACATATTTAGAAATAAAAAATATTTTATTATTGAAATAATTAATGACGTTTATTAAAACCTAAGGAACTTCATCAAAAATTGAAAAAGAATAAGGTTTTAATTAATGAAGTAGCAAAAAAAAGGGATGATAACCTAATTGCTCCTAATAGAACCCTCTTTGTCAACCAAAAAAGAGCGAAAAGACTATTTAGTTTTCTATCACAACAAAAAAGTTAAGGGCAGTAATGTATTTTCACAAAACAAAATTTTACTGTTTTTTGTTTAAACCTCACCTATAAATGATTTTAACATCACTAATTTTAAAAAATTTTAAAATTTTTAAAATAAAGCTATCTCCTTCTCTCCCCACTCTCAAGTTCTCTCTCACTCTCTTATTCTCTTCTTCAATTTTAAAAATAAAAATAAAGAATTTCACACACACTTTGTGTGTGGGCATATCTTTGTATATAAAGCCAGCAGACCCAATTTGAGGTCACAGCTTCACCACAAATGTTTGGATAAAAATGCCCCAAAAAACAAAAAAAATTAAAAAGTAGTCCAAAATAATGCAGGGGTAATTTGGTAATTTTGTCATAAAAATATAATATAAATATAAGTGGGAAGTGGGAAGAGGGAAGAGAATAAAAACAATGAAATGATGAGTGAAAGTTGCTGGTTCCCACGTGAGGGGAAAAGGAAAATATAATAAAAAATAAGGAAAATCATGAAGGTTATGTTCAAAACATTTTAAGAGGCGCGTAGCGTGCCGTGATTTAAAAAATGCATTTTGCACGCAGTTGTTTATTAAATATTATTTTCTCTATCTTGAAACACTTAAGAGGCATGTAGTGCCAATTATAAAAAAGACATTTCACACGCGAATAATAATATGATTCAATTAGTTGTCAAATGATTTTTTTTAACAAACGATGTTATCTACACTAAGGGGAAGGGGGTGGGCTTAGCCTCACAACGAGCTAGTAATAATGTAATTCAATTAGTTGTTTATTAAATATTATTTTCTCTAATCTTAATGTAAATTCAATAGAATGTAGATGGAAATTGAAAGACCACTTTTATTATGTTGATTTAGCTAGTTCGATTAGTTTACGAAGAGTTTCTTCTAGCACGGTCTATGGCACACCCCGACTCGGAATGTCCACTTGGACATCCGAATTGCGATGTGCTGGCCGACACCTAGAAGGTGACGAAGTCGTAAAGTGTAGTGATGTGGAAAATGTGAATAAATTAAAACCTAAAAGTGACTAATTTAGAGTGTGCATGTGAGCGGGATTGAACCTATATCACACAAGTAATGTCAGTGCATAGATAAATTGCAGTAAAAGAAGAGTAATGACATTTATACCAAAAGGAGAAGACTCCTACATACAGCTTTTGCCAACAATCCTCGTCGTCACAAAATCTCTACCACTAAAATCCTGGAGGGCCGAAAAATAAGGGTGAGTGGGTTCGAAAAATAAGGGTGAGTGGGGCAAGAATAGAAAGAGAATTGAGGAATTTCAAGGATGTTGATTTCCTTTGACTGTGCCTTTATTTATAAAACACCATGAGGAGAGAGAAACTTACTCTCCAAGTAATACAAATTATAATAAGAAATGATAACTATTATAAGGACTATATGCCGACACACAAAGTGTGTGAGATTTTTTTTTTTTTTTAATTGAAGGATAGAGGAAGATAGAGAGAACATGGGAGTGGGGAGAAAGAAGTTTAATATTTAATCTTTTTTTTTTTTTAATTAGAGATGTTTAAATTACATGTAGGCGAATTTGAACCACATTATTACTAGCCTATTGTGAGACTTAGCTTACTCCTCCATCCCTTTAGGATGTATAATATTGTTTGTGCAAAAAAAGTAAACAAAGATTCGGTCAAACTGTGTTGAAGTTTTTAGGCAAAGCAACCACTATGTCGGTAGTTACTTGATCACTTTTTTACTATATTTTTAATAATTAAATATTAACTCATATTGACACACCCCGTCCCGAAGGAGGGCATGCTGGCCGTCACGTGAGAGTGACGTAACCATTTACACAGTACGGAAGCTTTAAAGATACAATTTCTAAGATGAAACACCCAAAGGTGAGTCCTAATTTTTGTCCATTCTGTCAGAACACCGTTGGATTCCTCGTAGCCACCAAGCTCTGATACCAATGTCACATCCCGGCCCAGGTGGGACCACTTCCCGGGCCCGCTCCACCACCGTAGCACGATATTGTCCGCTTTGGGCCCCGACCACGCC